TCCAACCTTAGTGATTCTGTGAAGTTATCTGGAAGGAAGGTTTGTTAGTTGGAAAACGAAATTCTTCCTAACATGTTTATACACCAGTGCCTTCCATTCCAAAAATGCCCAACAAACAAGACAAATATAGGTACAACGTGTAAAGAACAAAGTATTCTCAAGGCACTGTAATTTGCGAGTGTCTGGTTGCTGACATCAGTGGCTCTGTGAAATTTTGAGTAGCCACAAACCTGTTTCTTTTAAGGCATCTGACATTGATAGTCAAAAGCAGTTATTAATTTTGAAAATTTAGTTCTGGAAGGTGAAGGAAGCACATCATCAGTGCTTCGTGTCCTTGATATAATATATATTGTATTTTTAGCTCTCTGTGGGTGCAGCTCCACAGGAGGTTGGAGATGGGGGAGCAAGAAAAAAACATTTGGGAACAGGTTTAGTATTTGTGGGAGTCTCTGCTTATCTGTCCAGAAGCTAGGAAATCCCCAGGGACTTTGAGGAGTTTCTGCAGCAGGGCTCCCTCCCGGGCTGGTTTTGGCAGTGCTGGGGTGCAGGGGCAATTAATATGGGAAGAAGGGGCAGCAGGTATTTAATCCCGTAATGGAATACTTTATAGCTAAGTTGGGAATGTCAATTTATTAATAATCTCATGAAATACAGAGTGCATTAGAGCTTTGCCAATACTGCAGGTACAAGAAACACTGATATTACTAAAGCTTCACGGGCGGTTTCCAAGTCTTTCTGCCTCTCCGCTGTGTGAGCGGTTGAGTGACTGTATATATATATATATATACAGGTATAAGACAGGTACCTGATGGGACTGTTTGGGTTGGTGAGACTAACAGTCCATTGGTAGCTGAATATTATTTTACAATAGATGAATTATTCAATTACTTGATAGTGATTCTCTGATAAATATGTGCTCTCATGTTTTATAAACCGCAGACTTGTTTCTTCATCATCTGTTCTTGTTTAGAACTTTGTCAGCTTATTTGATATATTTCTGAATACTCACATTTCTCTGGCATGTGTTCAGTGCCTAAATATATTTTTATTTTTTTAATGCATCTTAAAACAATAATCCAAGGGGCATTTTCGTTTGTTCTCTGTTTAACTGGGACGTGAGTTTGATTGTTCCTTCTGGTTTTGTCCACCTTGGCTGGTTCCTTTTCCCACGCTTTCCTTATTATGCTGCCTCTGGCCTTCTCCCGCTAGTTCAGAAGATTTCCTCTATGTAGTGTTGATAATCGCTTCGGGCTGCAGGGCTGGCATTGTGCAGTGACCTTTTTGTGGAAGGTACAAGTTGCCTTAGTGGGGGTACGTGGGGCAAGGATGATCCCAGATTAGCCCCTACAGCCCAGCCTTTGGTGCTAAGGTTTCTGCGTTCAAGGTGAAGAGAGGGCAGCCATATCTCACCACAGCCGCCTCCTCTTAAGACTCTTCATTGCCAGGAAGCTTTTTAATCAGATCTGAATGTAACTCTTTAGCTTTTTTTAAAAAAATGTTTTCATGCTTTTCCCCTTGTCTGCTTGAATCTGAGAGACATTCAGGTGCCGTAGAGCAGGTTGTATATCTGGATTAGTAGTTGGCAAGGAGGGTGGATTATTATCATTATGTATTAGTGTATATATATAGTATATATCAGTGTGTATATATGTAGATAAACATATATGTATCAGTATATATATCAGTATCCATATCCCAATGTACTAGTTGGTATTTCCAGTCTTTACAGAGCCAAACCTTGTCATTTCACTACTGAAGCAGTAGAGATTCCTGTTCTTTAAAAGTTTTTACTGCGTTTACATGATAGTGGTGTAGTGGAGAACTCTGAGAACTTACAACAGACAAGGGTAAAGTGTGGTAGAAGTCATCTACTCATACTTACAAAAAATGTCTTCAAATATTTGCTTTAAAATATATATATATTAAAAAAAAAGTGCTAGCAGCTCTGCAACACAGAAAGCAAGGGATGACTGTATTAGGGGGATGTCTCCTTAGGTGGAACCAAGGCAGTCTGAATCTGTTCATGCTGTGCTTGTCTTGTGCCATGAATAAAGATGATGAGGCAGGTATGAGTGCCTCTGCTCTAGGCTGACTACTTGACTGGCATTATCTGTCATGTAAGGCTGTCAAAGCATGTGCGTAAATAACAAATGCTATAGAAAATGATCTAAAACACTGATTTTTACTTTAGTACTACATCTCCGAGGAGACCAAGAATTGATTTGAAGAGACATGTATACATATATTTATATGTGAATTTTTTTAATAGCTGAAAAGGAAATACTGACTGAGAAGGAAATAGAAGGTCAAGTCAATATTTTTCCTGAGCTGTAATAAACTTCATGCACATGAAAGCAGATGCCAGCACATGCACTGGTGAATTGCTTTATCTGAACTAGTTGGAATCTCTCCCCTGTGGCTAAGGCTTTCACCAGTAGTGCTTTTTCCTTTTAAATTAAAATTCACCAAATGGGGAAAGAGACAGAGTGGAGACCAACGTAGGTGACTATTCACCTTGGAAGAGGTGGCAGCTTCCCACCAGCCTCAGCTGTAGTGGCAACCTGTTTATGGCACGCTCTTTCAGTCGTATTAATTGTATTGGGCAGTTAATAAGAGCTAGTCCAGTTCTCAGGGAAGTAACTTCCATTGTCTTTACTGGGAGCTGGGTGGGGATGTCTGTCTTGAGGTAGAAAAGTTGTTTATCATCACAGGATATTGTGGCTACCATGATAACAGAACAGCAACACAATTTGAAAGGCACTCCCTAAAAGCTGTGTGAAATTACTGATACAGAAGTTTAATGGGCAGCTTCCCTCTCCTGGTGTTCACAAACCTCTGGGCCTGTGCAGGCTTTTACTTCTGCGTTAAGTGAAATGCTCATCAAAATTAATACTAAAAAAAATTAGTTCTGAATATCCAACAGTTTCAAAACAGTTTTCATAATGCATTCCAATGCACTGAGCTGTGAACTGGGATTAATTATATGATGACAGTTAAGTGGTTGAAGGAATGTGGGGCAAAATTCTGCGTTGAGCCTCCAAGCAGATGGCAGCAAGCTCTCGCCCCAGGGTGAGGAGGAGGCTGCAGGGGCCTGGGTGATAGAGGCTCCTGTGGTCTCATCCCACCTCCAAGCTTTCACACTTCTGCTGAGAACTAGAGGTGAGATACGGTTGCTGCCCAGGCTGCTATCTGGCTAAGCAAAATGTTTATGGTGCTGTAAGGTAAACCCCATACCTGGTGAGTGCCTCCCGTGTCTAGTGGGGAACGATGTACACGCAATATCGTACTGCAGAGCTTATGCACATCTCCCTGAAAAGTAGCTTTGTGGCTATAGTGCTTGCACCAGAGGAAGCTACGCCCGGGTAGCACTGAGGATGTTGGAGTCTCTTTAGGCTGTTTTAACACTTAGCTAATGTTAAGTAGAAAGGAACAAGCCGGAGGATCTTATCGTTCGTGTATAAAATGAGCGCTGGGCTTGTGCTTTGGCAGATTGCCCGTTGATGTGTCAGAGATGTTTTGTATCTGCCCGCTAAACCAGCAGAGGACCATCTCCAGCAGTTTGCAGTCCTGTGCATCGCCCTCTCTGCTCATGTGATGCTGTTCCTCTGCGTGGATGGGGTGGTGTAGGCTGGCAGGAGACGAGTGATCTCCTTTATCTCCATGATCAGGAGGGGTGGCGAATCTGTACGTGTCAATACAAAAGCAACTGTTCCACTGCTTGCATGTGAATTAACCAGTGATTCAGTTTTGTGGAAGGAAAACTCCAGCAGTGGCAACATTTGCAGAGCGTTGTTTTTTTTTTTTCCACGGTACAGGAAAGAAAAATGTAAAAGATGGTTTGTCTTCCACTGCTGCTTGAAGTTGCACAAATAGGGCTTTGCATGAGAAGAGGTTTTAGTCGAAACAAACAAACTGTTTCTCTGTATTGTTCCAAGTGAAACTTGAAAAGGAATTGTGTTATCCACTTAATGTAACTTTGATGTAAAAGGAAAGCATGTATTGAATGTGATTGGGCTTGAAAGGTTGTGATTGTAATGTAATTACGGTTGGGTTTTGCTTGTTTTAAACAGATCAGCTGTTACGGACTGCGAGTCAGCATTCTGACAGCAGTGGCTTCGCTGAGGACTCCTCCACAGATTGTTCTCCATTTAATCAGCTTCAGGTAAGGTTCCCGTACTGTGGTTGGAATATTACCGGTTACTGTGGGACACTAAGGACCTGGGGAGAGCAGGAGGGATGTTGATGTTTGACTGCTGGCATGACCATCAGTCTAGATCCTATAAACTTTTCATTTTCAGAGCTGGACCTGATGAGTCCCTTACAGAACTGTGTTGAAATTTGAAAGCCTTTCTGGTAGGATAATCTGGGTATACTTGGGCCTGGAATAAGCTCTAAGTTCAGTGTGTCCTGTTTGCTGTTTCTGGTGTATCTTTTCTCACTGACTGAGGCTTCAGAATCGTAGTCCACTCCTCTTATGACTGCAGTGGGTAGAGATTAAGGTTATGAAAGACTTTAGCTTTTTTGCTGATCATTTCATTTCTTGTATCACTTTTGCCTCCACACTCTTTTTTCCCTTCATATTTTTTTTTCCCCCACATATTTTTCTCCTTTTTTTTTTTCCCCAGTTAGCAGCTGACAGAAAGTGAAAAGAATTTCATACTAACTTTTCTATGAAGGTATACTAATGTTTCATTGATCTTGAGCTCCCACGCTCTTTCTTGTTCCGGTTCCTTTGATCTCAGTCCCAGAACTTGCCGTGATACTGACCAGAGACTGCATGACTCAGGGGAGGCTTTTGTTCCAGCGTGGTGTTTAGGTGTCTAAATACAAGTTTGCTCAGCATTGTACCTGATATTTAGGAGGGGTGTTCTCTTGCCTCTCCTAAAACATTTGCACAGTAATAGCCATGATTTGGTTGGCCTGTCAATCAGCCAGAGAAAACTCTTGAGCTGGATCCTGGCCTCAAGGCCATGAATTAGCTGTCTGGGACCTAAACCACAGTCCGGAGGAATACAAAGATGGGATTCGGGGTATCACCAGTAACTTCTTTTCTATGGCTTGCAGATGCTGAATTTTTTTTTTTTTATGCTACCGTGTGTTTCTTTCCTTGTGGCACACCAAACATTTTAAGAGCTGTTCGGCACTTACTAGGAAGAGATACCCACCCTCTCCATCCATCAACGTTGCTTTTCTGTTTTGGTACTGGTATTCTGTGCTTTCCAGTTTAGTAGTTTCTCAACTAAGCACCAAAATGAAAGCCAAGAGAGTGCTAGTCTTTGTGTCTTCCTGAAACATTAGCTTACACTTTCCAAGAGCAAGAGAGTGAACAAAGGAAATCATGAGCCCGAGTGTCTGTAATGAGCATAATAGTCTGACATACTGGTTCTGCTCTCTGCTAAACTGGGACTGCACTGAAGTTGACAGGCATGTTAGAAGGCGACTCAGATTTGAGTTCCTTACTCCTGATCTTTATATTGGTTGCAACCTGGTTAAGAGTCCTGATTAAGCATGTTGCAACTAAGTGCCTCTTCACTGGAAGACTGGTGGAATTTGTGTTGGCTGTAAAGGCATGAGATTTTTCTGCTTTCTATTATGCTGTTTTGAAAAGATGTATTGAGACTACAGAAGGTTTGTGCCATGGAGTTGCTAGGCTCTCTTCTGCCACCTTCACGGCTGTATTCAGACCAAATGCTGAGCTGAATTCAGAGAATATGGGTGAATGATGAGACTAGGGGAAATGAGAACTTGGCAGCTAGTGAACAGAACCTGTGAAAAAATGAAGGGGATACGGAGGGGTGTATATTGTTTCTTAAAAGTATGGTAAGTTAGTGCCATCTACTGTTAAATAATTGACTCTAGCAGCCATAGCATTCCTCTGAAACTCAGGAGGAAACTCAAAAACTGGAACTGTGTACCCCTCATCCCTGACATCCAAAATGAAGATTTCTAAGGGAGATTTTTGGCATTGAGATGTTCTGCAGGGGAGTTTCATGTTACCAAAGAAGCTAGAAGAATTCTCCATCCACGTTCTTGAAGTTTTGCTTGCCTGACTTGTAAGTGATGAGAGACACAGATGTGCACACATGTAGCACACCTAATTTCACCTAGACATTACAATCTTTTGTTCATTAATACCTTTGACTTAAGCAATATCTGAGCACAGTCTTTCATACTAGTTTGTGGCTGTGCCAGTGAGTGCAATGTTAAGTACATACTTACGAAGATGACCTTTATGACTGAAATTTTCTTCTAGATGCTTGCAGGAGGAACTATTGCCTGATATACACCATAAGTAATCTCTCTAGAAGGAACTAATAGTTAGTATCCTAACAGCAGTGAGAGCTGCAGAAATTAGAGATGGGAAAAGCTTCTCTAAATTTCTAGTTCATGCATCAGCTATAGTAAACTTCCAAGGCTGTACTTGGTACCACATATTCTTATGAAAATGTCTAGTCCACTTGTAAATATACCAGTCAGTCAGGTCAGTCTAAGGAATGTGCTTTGCAATCCATAGATCTTTTTTTTTTTCCCTTTCTCTTAAATGCTTTTCCTGCCATTTGTACCTATTAAATTAGCAGCTCTCTCATGCATGTGCTCTGCTTTAAACTGTGATTTATGAATGAAAAGGGGAAGAAGTATTAGGAGAAAGAAGGGAAGGAAGTGTGGGGGTAACAGTACTGGATGCAGTCTTCAACAGAGATTAGCAGCCTGATGTGAGATTCTCAGTCTCAAATAATTCTGTGACTTAAAACAGGCCAAGTATATAGGCAGGCTGGTTTTCCCATTCTTAGTGTTGTCCTGTGACGCTAGTTTTGCTACAGTCTGCAGTATGCCTCACTTCTCTGTGTGCATTCCCTAATACCACCCTTCGTTTACAGTCAGCGCTGAAACCTTTCTATATTGGAGATGCCATGTACCTCTACCCTGTTATCTCTTTGTCATCCCTACCTAATATACTAGCATTTTACTCTTTTTACTCTCTTACTCTGCTGCCACTTCTGTTTTTCTGGCAATAGAGGTTATTGTCAAATCAAAATGTGTAAATAGTTTGCTCTTTTTTTTTTTTTTAAATGTCTCCTTTTTGGTGCCATACTTCAGTATGCTTCTATCCTATCTGATACGATGGTTTCTTTGTTCTCCTTTACTGTTTTTCTTGCACAGTAACTGCATTGTTCTTTCTGCTCCCTGCCACGATGCCCAATGAATGTGGATTTGAACTCTTAGCCTGACTCCTGAGAAGCAGTAGTTGAGTCTCCAGTATGTTCACCCCTTTGCTGGCTTGTATCTTTCCTAGGTTCAGGAGTCTTTGCAGGGCATGGGAAGCAGTGCTGACAGCTGTGACAGTGAAACAACCGTAACCTCACATAGCGAGGAACAGAAGACACCGATAGCCAAGGAACTGCCCTGTTTCAGTAAGTTTCAAGAGGAGGAAGATGATGATGATGAGGAGGAGGAGGATGAGGATGATGATGATGAAGAGGATATTATCTCTCAAGTAGAGAGACGAAAGGTAGGGGCACCTTCTGAGAACAGAAGGACTGAAGATAGGAAAATTATTGACTATGAAACTGAACAAAATCAAGGAGGAGAAAGCAAGTCATCTCATGTATCAGAGACAGTGCAAGGAGAGGTCAGGTCTAAAGAGGTAGACATTTCCAGTGAGCGAAAAGAATTGGGATTGCTGGAGGAAGACAGTGTATTTGAGTTTCCTCAGTACCACACGCACCATATCCTCAAGTCGATGGAGTCTCTGGAAGGTGGCAGCTCCTCCCCATCGTCTATGGACAGGGTTCACGTTGCCTTGCAAAGAGCTGAGATGAGGATCGTCAGCACATCTGATTGCAGGGCTGGACGCACTCTGCTTAAGTCAAAAGATCTCCTGAGGAAGCAGAGACTCTGGTTTGCTGAATCGGGCTATCCTCTAAGGCGGTCTCAGTCTCTCCCAACTGCATTGCTGAATCCAGTGAAAGTGGTGTCCTCTGTAAATGTCCAGTTAACTCCAGGAAAAGAGACTCTGTGCAGTCCTCCTTCTTTCACCTACAAGTACACACGTGTGGAGGAAGATGAGAAAGCGATGTCTGAGAATGACAAAAGTGAGGGTGAGGCAGCCGCCAGCCAGCCAGTGTGCAAATCCACACTGTTTATTGCGCCTTCATCCTCCAAAAAAGAAGCACCCCAGACTGGGCCCAGCAGGCTGCCCGAGGAGTCCAGTCCCACCAGGGTACAGAGCTGCCCGCTGCACACGCCAGCACACATGTCCCAGTCGATGTGCTCCCTCCACTCTCTCCCTGCGGAGTGGCAGGACAGACCGCTCTGCGAGCACATGAGGACGCTGAGCACCCATAGCGTCCCAAGCGTTTCCGGCTCTTCCTTTGGCGCCTTGCTTTCCCCCTTCAGCTGTCCCTTCTCTCCAAGGCATGCTGGATTTCCTCATCGACCTCATGCCATCAACCCGCCCTCCACCGTGGAGATGCAGCTTCGCAGAGTCCTGCATGACATCAGAAACTCTCTGCAGAACCTCTCACAGGTATGAGGAAGCCAAATTTTGCCCCTGGGCAAAAGGGCTTCTTATTTTATCCTTACATAACCAAAATGTTAACCTCAATATTCCTTTGCATAGCGCAGCCGATCAGAAAAAAATGACATTTTGTGCAAGTTTGATTTGCTACTGTTTTACAAGCTTCTGTTTAAAGTGGCAAATGATCATCTTGCTAGTGCTCCAGTGTTTTTGTGTTTAATTTTTTCTTGTTGCAATTGATCCAGATTTCTTTTCTTCTTTTTTTTTTTTTTAATTTTATGGATATTCGTCAGTGGGAGGGAGAACCAGTGTACTCTCTCAGCTGTTATTTTAAGGTGATAGTCATTAGCTTTAGATTTGAAAGTACATATTGGCAGTCCTTTAACCTCTCTCTTCTCTTTGACGTACTTCCCATCCAACTGATAAAAATGTATTTTTTTTCATTGCAAGTCCTATGGCTTCACTAATGATGCCAGTGATGATGGGCTGTTCCATGTACATTTCTATGCTGTTTCATGCCAATCTTTTGCACATTCAACTCTGGAGCTAGTCAACATGAGCCTGAAGTCATCAGTCTTTTATTAAGAACCAGTTTTGTCACAGTGTCTGAGATTTTGTCCATCTCATCACTCGGAGAAGAAATGCTTTAAAGTGCAAGCACTTTTTTTTACCAGTTTCTGCCACACCTCTGCT